TACGCTTTGGGGGACTTACCACCCAATTTCCAAATCAATACACAGAAAATACAGAGATGTATTCTTCTTATGAATGCGTGGCCTTAGCTTGGCTTGTTTCTAGCCAGTATTTCTAACTTAAGTTATCACGATTACCTTTTGCCTCTGGTTTTTTGTTTGTTTGTTTTTGTGGCTCCATATATCTTTCTTTCCTTCTTACTCTGTGGCTGGCTGTGTGGTTGTGTAGCTGGTCTCTGGAGTCCCCTCTCCTTCCTTTCTCATTCCCCAAGCTTCTTTTCCCTGATTTCTCGTCCTATTTATTCTCTCTGCCCAGCAGCCCTGACTCTATCCCTCTCTGCCGTAGCTATTGGCCATTTAGCTCTTTATTAGATCAATGAGGTGTTTTAGGCAGGCAAGGTAACGCAGCTTTACAGAGTTAAACAAATGTGACATGAAAGAATGCAACACATCTTTGCATCATTAAACAAATGTTCCACAGTATGAAAGAGTGTAACACATGCCGGGCGGTGGTGGCGCACGCCTTTAATCCCAGCACTCGGGAGGCAGAGGCAGGTGGACCTCTGTGAGTTCGAGGCCAGCCTGGTCTACAGAGGGAGTTCCAGGACAGGCTCCATAGCTACACAGAAAAACCCTGTCTCAAAGAACCAAAAAACCAAAATACCCCAAACAGAAAAAGAATATAACACAGCTTCGGCTAATATCCCGCAACAAGGGAGGAGGGAAGTGGAAACACAGCGCAGAAGAAAGGTCGCTTAGGGCAGGGGACAAGGAGGCTGGGAGAGGTCTGGGTGGTGACTTCAGTGGGCTCTTATTGTAACAGGAGTTAGTCTGGACTTTCACCCGACCTCTTACTTACCTGTAAGCTCAGTGACTTGAGAAAAACCACACCTAGAGTTAAAGAAAGCTGTCTCTTCATATTGCACAGCAGTCCCAGGCTCGTCTTCCTCAGAGTCCAGATTCAATGGAAGCTGTAACATAGGTTCTGTCACCACTCAGTGCATCCAGCCCTTTCTGATAAAATCCTGTCTACGAGTCAGGCCGTACTTCAACTCCAGTGAGTCTTTGTAAATACAAAAGCGAGTATGCACACTGTAGTGTCTATGTGCTCATCTGTTCGACTTTCCTTATTGCTGCCATAACTTTAGTGGCTTAAAAGAAGAAGACTTAGGGCTCGAAATGTAGCTTAGTTGGTACCTTGCTGAGCATGCAAGAGTCCAGAATTCAATCCCCAGCACTGCATACACTAGGCATGGTGGTGCATGTTCAAAATCCCAGCACCGGAGATGGAGGTGGGAGAATCCAAAGAACAAAAGTCATCCTCAGCTAGAATTTGCTCAACATCAGCTTGGCAAGAAAGAAACGAGGGGAGTGGAAAGGGGAGAGACGCAGGAAGGAAAGAAGGAAGGAAGGAAGGAAGGAGGAAGGAAGGAAGGAAGGAAGGAAGGAAGACAAATTTAACCATTTTCCCACTCCAGAACCACAAGTTCAAAAGTCTGATCTTGAAGGTGCAAGCTGAACCGTATCCCTTCTGGTGAGGAAACGGAAGGAGGCCGAGCCTGCCACAGTGTCCAGTGAGGAAACGGAAGGAGGCCGAGCCTGCCACAGTGTCCAGTGAGGAAACGGAAGGAGGCCGAGCCTGCCACAGTGTCCAGTGAGGAAACGGAAGGAGGCCGAGCCTGCCACAGTGTCCAGTGAGGAAACGGAAGGAGGCCGAGCCTGCCACAGTGTCCAGTGGTTCTGTCCTTTGCCTTTTCCACCTGCTGAAGCCTTTTGTGTTTGTGTTTCTTTGGCTCATGCCCCCTTCCTTCTTCTTTAAGGTGGCTATAATCGAAGCCTTTTGTTTCTTGTTCATGTTTTTTTGGCTCATGCCCCCTTCCTTCTTCAAGGTGGCCTTCTCACTTAAGCTCCTGCTGTGGCCTCTCAGCCATCCATCACTAGCTGTGACTGGCCCTCTGCCTCTTCTTTCAGGAGCCTTATGATGACGTTGGGTCCATATCAGCTCTACCCCGATCTTTGCTCTCCCGATTGGCCCCATGCTGACAGCTGCAGAGGATCTGGACAGACACAGAGCCCACAGGGCCTAGGGATGCAGACAAGCACTCCTTTAGGGAACCACGTTTACCACGGTGGGCCTTATTTTCTAGCTCATTGACTGCTGATAGGGTATAGATTCAAGATTAATAAGTATTGTCTCATCACATCACCCCAGAGAAACCTAAAGCCCAACACAAGAGCCCAGAACAGGTATCTCCAAGTTACCTTTGTTCCACGCTATGAAAAATTCTAGTATATTTAGCCTAATATTGTTTTTGGCATTTCTGCCATTAGGAAAGAAATTTTGGCCAGTCGGCCAGTCATATGTTTTAAGACTATTCATTTCTGTATCTTAAAAGATGCTGAGGTTTGAACTCCTTTTACATTGCTAGAACCCCACTTTTACTCTCTACGTGAGAGGAGCTAGCCAGGGTCTCCACAACGCAGACAGCCGCACCTGCTTTCTCTCTCAGATCCTTTTTTTTTTTGAACAGCGTTTGGCTACATGAACCTGCGGCAACCCTTTATCAGGATTATAAACCCAGAAATCCAGTTGAGACCTTCAGTTTGACTCTCCAGATATGTGAGCACTATTTCTTGGTGAAATTGAAGTTTGTGCAAGGAGAGATGAGAAGAGATACGGTGGGCCAGACCTCTGTGTCTTCCCAGGTACAACGTCACCTCCTTAGGGGACGTCAGCAGAGGAGTGTCCTGTCAGTGGGCAGGAGGAGGGAGGGAACCCCAAAAGTTTAGACTATTAACATCCAGGATGGATCATGGGAGCACAAACGATCCGCTTACTCATTTGTCAAAAGGTGTTCTGTGTCTCCTTGTCTGCATGCATCCGCTACCTCTGCTCCTCACCCAAGCACCCTGGGTTCAACATCACCCCCAGGCTACATAAGCCACAGTGTCCCTCGTCCCAGGCTACATAAGCCACAGTGTCCCTCGTCCCAGGCTACATAAGCCACAGTGCCCCTCGTCCCAGGCTACATAAGCCACAGTGCCCCTCGTCCCAGCTGAAGCACCATGTGGAACAGTGCCTGGCCACTCGGTGAGGGAAAACGCTGCCAGTTTTAATCCATGAGGCTGGATTAAAACCAAGATTCTTAATCCAAAAAACAAAACAAAACAAAAAACATGTTATTCCTTTCTCCCACATAAATCAAAAAAAAAAAAATAACTTACACTAAGCCACAACTTGATAAAGTGTAATTCAGAGCAGAAGGTGCTGGTTTAAATCCAGTGATTACTTGGACTTTTAAAATAAATATCAAGTGATTTTAAAACGCTTTCCCCCGTTTTTTTTTTTTGGGGGGGGGGTGGCCATGCTTTCTTGGTGTGTCTCAGTCGACTTTGCTGTCAACCTCGTTGGACTGAACCACAAAGAACTCTTCATTTTGAACTTTTAGGTAGGGGATGGGAAGAAAGCTGCCTCCTGTCCAGCCTCTGGCTAGGTCTGGATCCATCAGTGGGTGAGGGTTTTTGTTTTCTTTTGTTTGTTTTTTAACGTTTTCAGAGAAGCATGAAGAGTGGAATATGGCCGCTCTGCAAGAACTGGTATATACTTGACAAGTACCAAGTGCTCAGTGCACCTGTAAACTATTAAAGACTCTTTCCTAGCCTGCCCGCCATCCTGAAAGCCTCATTCAAACACCTGTCAATACCTACAGCGGTCCTAGTCCTTGGAAATATCCCAAGGAAATAAAGATAAGGTAAACAGGCCCGACCTCAGCTTGAGGTCTAGAAACAGGTTCTTAAGCAAATGCCCGTGTCATAAACGGTGGACTGAAGGCAGATATGACGGTAGCAGAAACGGGTACTGATCCTGGAGGTACGGAAACACCTGCTGTTAAAATTGCTTTCTTCCACGTGCTCGCCTATTTCAAAAAGGACACTCATGTTCAGCTGTGCGTCGCATGCCCACAGGGTGGGCTGGGGGAATGTGGGAGCTTTTGGAATATCCCGGCTGCCTCAGACAGCAACTTCTCCCCGACAGGACTAGATGGGAAGTTGACAGCGTCAACTGAGCTATACGTTCAGTGTGTGCGCAGAATGGAGCCACCTGAGGCACAGGTGGGCATGGGCGTGGGCGAGACTGGCTTCACCAGGCTTCCTTTCCACATCAAGCACAGTCCTCTTTTGACTTTATCCATTCAAAAATTAGGTTTGAGAGGCTGGAGGGATGCCTTAGTGGCTGAAAGCATCGCCCGCACTTCTGAACAACCTGAGTTTGCTTCCTACTCCAGGTTTATGGGCTTTGACCCCCTCTTCTGGCCTCCACAGCCACGTGTGGCATACACTCACACAGACACACACCATTTTTTTTTTAATTAAAAATAGGGGGTCTTAAGAGATGGCTCAGCAGTTAAGCACACTTGCTACTCTTTCAGAGGGCCCAGGTTCAAATCCCAGAACCCACACATCTGACCACCTGTAATCCCAGTTCCAGAGGATCCAATGACCTTTTGACCCAAGGGCACCAGGCACACATGGTACACAAACATGCAAACTAACTCAACACACATAAAAAACTAATCTTAAGAACAAACTCGCCGGTATGACATCACCCGTCACCATCTCTCTCAACTCCGCTCTGTATCCTAATCTGTCATCTTCTGCCTTCAACCCTGTTCCACCTTAAACCATCTTCTCTGATCATATCCACCTTTTTTGGAATACCTTCTGTCCTTAGCCGTCCCCTAGTGCATTTCTTGTCCGTCGACTTGTAAACCATTGCCTCCCAGACACAAGTTCTTGAAGCTTTCCCTCCAATCATCTGTACTGCCCTGAAGTGAACTCACCGAGGTGCCTTTTGCACGAGTTTTAGGTGTCAAATAAAGTATTCTCATTTGTAACTTTAAAACTAAAGACTGGAAATTACCTAGAGCAGCAGGCTAACTGTGTGCTGGTAAAATCTGTGCTATAGCCCATTTCTCCTTTACCCACCACAGCATAAAACAAAGTAGATATTAAAATTTGTTTATTTTTTCTACTTAACTTTTAATAAATGAGAAGAAACACAGTAGTCTTGTCTCATATAGAACATTTATAATACAGAACAATCCATAAAGCCTCGTGGTGAGGTAGGAACAGCTTTGGAAATAACACAGTCATAACACACAGAAATTAGGGAAAATGTCCTGCACTTGTTCTGTCTGTACTGGCGCTCAACACGCTGAGAGCCACATCGACCGCACTGTTGGCCCAGAGGACAGGTGGCAGCAGACACACCCAACATGAGAACACCAAAGAATCAGACACACTGACACTCCATTGTGCTGTTTCAAGGCAGACCCCTATCACGGCGATCTGTGTCTTTTTATATAACCACATATTAATTCTATGTCACATTCGCCTCAGCATCTTTTTGCCAGACACTGAACCTTAATATTTTTGGTTTAAAAGTTTAAATTGATTAATATACAAAAGGCTCTTGTGCCAGTGAAAATGACTGCTAAATATTCCAGAGCTTGTTAGTAAGACAAAATAGCATGACCATATACACATACACACATGTATATATGCAGTGCTGTATCAAAATAGTGAGACTACAGTCGCATTTCCCAGTCCGTGAAGCATAGGATAGTTCCCATCACAGAGACAACAAAAGCCTTCCACCTCCCCAAGACCTCTTAACACTGTTTTATTTCTTAACTGAAACGCAGTATTAAAATATTTTCTATTGTAGAATCACACTCCATATCTGTGTATGACTACCTTAAGACAGCAGCTTAATGACATTTATTGTTCAAATGGTATCTGCTTGTAAAACAGCAAAAACATTCAAAACCAGTTTACATACCAAATACTCCACATTAAGTTTCGTCCTTTCCCTCAGAGCTTTCCGAAACTCAAAACAGAATGCTGACAACACACACACACACACAGAGCTTCCTGTGACTTTCCAAACCCTTCCTGTTCAAATTACACATCTTAGGTTAAAGCCATTCGGCATCTTGCTTCTCTTTTGAATGTGAAAATACAGTAAAATGTCTGAGGACTGTTTTTCATGTTCTAGCGTGTACTTCTACAACGTAGATACCACCCAGAAAAGAATTACTCCTACAAGTTAAAAGCTGACCGTGGAAAATGAAATCCGTTCTTCCAAGGCGCACGTGGCTTGGAAGGATTCCTGGTTGAGTGCAATTGGGGAGCATGCAGCACCTTCTCACTCAGCTCCAGATGACGGACAGGTCCACCCTGGCCTTGCCCAAACACAGGACCAGGAGAGCAGCGAAAAGAAGCTATTTGGAAAAGACACTCAAGTCCCATAACACTTAAATATAAAAACATGTCTTTTTTCTTAAAGATAATGCTAATATAGCTAAAAATGGGTTAGAAAGTGCACTGTAAAGAAATAAATAATTCTCTAAAACTCCGAGGTGAGTGGGTGCCCATGTTTTGCTATGATAAACACTTTTCAAGAAAAAAAAAAAAAAGAGCCTGTGGTACTTTTTACACAGAAGCCACTTAACCTAAAAGCACTTCTGAAAAACACATCAGCATAGCTCTTGTTCCAACTCTTGGGGCACCTTCGACACGAACCCACCCAGAGTGTTTCTGAAGGACACTGGCTGGATGTCACACACTTTCACCAGTTCCCTTGGTGCGTCACAGCGGACACTGCTCAAACCTGTGCGGTGCCAGTCAGGGTGTGCTCCAGACAACTACCTCCAATTCTCTCGTCCTCACCCATAGATCGCTCCAGTTCATGTTTAAAAGAAAAGAAAAAAGCAAAATTTTTGCAAAATTCAAAGTAACCACCTGTCAAGGGGTTGGATCACATACTAATGAAGCATTATGCGGGCTGCTGATTGGCCCAGAGCGGTAAATGTGAACTTACAAACTACGTTCCTAAAATGAAATTTCTCAGCAGAAAATGCAGCTGTTATAAGCAGGCCCGTTGCCAGCAACAGGCTCTTTACACTCAGGGAAAGACCATCCCTTCAAAAGTAACTGTCATACACTAACACTTCCATTTTCAGATTATTAAGCAATGAATTCATTATTTCAAATCCCAAAAGTTTAACTTTCCCAAAAGTAGTCAGCTATAAAAGTTATTGAAGTAGTCAGAGTACTCTGTCCCTAGAAAAATAGAGCTATCACAACTAATATTAATAGTCACTCTCTCGAAGACAAAAAAAATCTACATTCTCTTCACAAAGCATGAACCTTTCTCTATCAAGGAAAATATAACTTAAGTATCTTCAGATGTGTGCGTGGATTTGGACTCTGTGGCGAAGTGCAGCCATGAGTGACTTCCTGGTGCAAAGGACAGCGTCTTACAGCAACGCCGGTGGAAAACCGAGCATGTCCAGACAGGCGGCTCAGAGACCGGAGGCTTTCTTAGTAACCTGCTTTCTACAATGTCCAAACTGCAGGAACCGTCCGATTTCTTCCTTTCAAGTCATGGCTCTTGGCAGAAGCAGACTGCGCTTGCTGTGCCTGAAAGAGGCCAAATGCGTCTAACCGGTCACTAGGAAAGGTTTTTAAGACACAATTTGCGATTAACAGCTGCAGTTGACAAAGACCAAGTCTTCAGTCTCAAAAATATTCATGCACTTTGAAACTTTTAGGCAAACACTGCTAATACCAGTCGGTCTCTGAAAGAAAGCCATGCTGGCACACACGTGTGGGGCGGCTTTGGTAAGACTAAAACCACCTGATTAATATGTAATCTCCATATTAACATACAATAGCCTACCTGGTTTTCTTCCTCCCCTGCTCGCTTGCTCCACTATGTGTAAACTCTAATTCATTTTGTGAATTATCTGTTTACTCGATTATCACTCAGCAGTAGAGAATACAAAATAGTAAGTACTCTTATTTCCTGCTAATAATAATGAGTCACTCAGAAAACACGCTGCCATTATGCTATGTTTATGATCTCAAAGGGCAAGTAGCTACCCCTAAACATCAGCGGAGACAAGCTGGATGGCCTGAAAGGTCTCGCCATCACAATCCTAACAATGTATAACAATGGGGGAAAGAAAAGCAGAGAAATTCCAGTAACAATTTTATTTATCCCCCTAATTCTTAGCATGGGAAATCTGGGAATCAAATGTCATTATGTCATATATGGTTTATACTTACTTTAAACAACAATGTAACATAGTGTCAAACTGGCTTTCAAATGTGCTACAGCATCGCTGCACTGCGCACTAGTAGTCACTAGGCTGTTATGGAGAACATTCATTCTACTACGCAGTTCCATTATGTTCTTACAAAAATAGAATTAAACTCTGCGACCAGACAAGGACTTCAATTACACTACTTGGCAAACTTAGTATTTCAATGGAGTCTATTTTCTCTTGCAGTTTAAAAAGCAAAGTCAAATATCACATCCTTTTCAAGACTCACAAAGATGATTCGGGCTGCTTTTTTGGCACGTTTTTAATCTCTATCACCACAGCAGGAAGGCTGCCTTCAGCTTTAGTCCTCCTGGGCTTCTTCTCTAGGTTTTCACTGAGTTCTAAACAGGAAATGCTAACTGTTGGGGCCTTTTCTGCATCCTTTACAGACTGGGTTTGTGGCCGGGTCCCACAGCATTGCTTCAGAGCGCACTGAGTTCTGCAGGCAAGTTCACACGGGACTACTTTAGACCCTACGCTAGCAAACTCAGGTTGGATGGTGGTAGCGTGAATTCCGTGGTTATGAAAAACGTCTTTAATGGTCTTGGCCACCTGCATGTACGAAGCTGGGTCCTCACACTTTATGTGAGCGGTGGCGATGATTCTGCTCCCAGCCAGCTGCCAGACGTGTAACTCGTGGACTTCCTCCACGCCGTCCACGGCTCGCAGCTCCTTCACCAGGTGCCGGATATCAATTTGCTTGGGAACAGTTTGTAGAAGGATGAGAGCAGATTCCTTGAGCAGCGGGTAAGTTGTGTAAAGAAGTATACAAACCATGATAACGCACAGAGTTGGGTCTAAGTAGAGCACCCAGCATGGGCCGGCCTCTAGGATGGGGGCCTGCGTGCCGTTGATCATCTCCATGGACGACTTGCAGGGGTCACGGAAGCATGGGTTGATACAGAAGCTGTTTTCAGAACAACCCTTCCACAGGAAGTAAAAGAGCGACGCGTTCACGACGACGATCACGGAGCCCAAGGCGTCACCGAGGACGTGCAGAAACACCCCTCGCATGTTCAGTTGCGCTGCTTTGTTGTCTTCCGACTCCAGAGAGTCTTCAGGCTCCGGGATAAGGTTCCCATTTACTTGTACATCCACCGGATCCTCGCTTCTGGGTTTTTCTGGCTCTACAACAAACAATACACTTTTAATTAAACACATTTAAACTGTTCAGATAAACATCTTGCCTAGGAGTGAAGAAGTTGAAACTTTTTCTCAAAAAGCACAATAAAAGTATGCTGGGAACAATGCATAATGAGGGGACCTCTGGGTACTGCCAGGCCACAACCATAGGGGAGGACCAGACTGTGTCATTAGGGTATTGTTTCTTCATTTCCTTCCCATCCTCGCCCCTGCCCCTGACTACTCCTTGGTGTCCTGGAAACATTGTACTTCACTTTTCTGACACATAGAAAAGAGAAACAAAATTTAGGGCTTTCAGTTCAGTACAGCTGAGGATAAGTCCTATAACACAATCGATCTGATGGGGACCTCTGGGCAGCCAGAGGCACTAGGCAGACTGCTTAATAAAGGTGGCTTTAGACTTTAGCATTTATCATTTATGTTCTATATAGTGTCTTGGTAGAGGGGGTTTACAAACTGACAAATCAACAACCTGGGGATACTGCCAGGCAGCGGCGGCTCACAGCTTTAATCCTAACACTTGGGAGGCAGAGGCAGGAGGATCTCACTGAGTTCGAGGCCAGCCTGGTCTACACAGGGAGTTCCAGGACAGCCAGAGCTGTTACACAGAGAAATCATGTCTCAGAAAAAAAACCCGAGCAAACAAAAAACACAACCTGTAGCTACCAATAAGGCTGGAACTCAATAATCACTAAATTATCTAAAAGATTGACTCAGGGCTGGGTGGTGGCTCACAGCTTTAATCCCAACACTTGGGAGGCAGAGGCAGGAGGATCTCTTGTGAGCTCCAAGCCAGCCTGGTCTACAAAGAGAGTTCCAGGACAGCCAGAGCTGCTACACAGAGAAACCCTCACTCGGAAAAACAAAACAAAAGTTCAAGTCCTACAGCACACCTGAGTAGTTTCACTTTGTTCGGAAGGAGAGAAAACCTTTCCCATGCACCACCGGGACTCCACCGCGCACTGGAGAAGTTACCTTGCCTCTCAGAGGGATTGAAACTTGAAACGGCATGAAAAGCGGCAACCAAAATGTTATCATCCAGCTTGGGGCGATGCTGGCTTGGTTCTTTCTCGTTTCTTTCCAACACTCTCACCTTTCAAATTCCCACCAGCAGCACATGGACTCGAGATGAAGAATGTTCATCAAAACCACGAGGGAACTACATCCCCATCAGGTCTAACACCATTCCGCCAAACCCTAAGCGCCGAACGTGCAACGTGCCCTGGCAGGTCCCTAACCTGTGATTTTCCCGGATTAGGTGGTCAGTTCGGGGAAGCACACGCCGCGGCTCACAAAGGCCGCCTTTCACCAGGGCCCACACACCCTCCACCCATCATTATCAAACTTGTTCAGTGGGCACGGAACCACCGCCGCGCACCCGGGCGCGGGGCGTGGCACCCAGCTCGGGCGCCAGGGGGCGCCAGTCCCCGACCCCGGCGGCGCTCGCTCACCTGCCGGGTCCGCCTTGAGCCCGTTGGAATTGCTAGTGTTGGCCACCAGCGTGTTGGTCTCCTCCTGGTCCGGCGCCCGTCCCGGCGGCGCGCTCGCCTCGCCCCCTGCGCGGCCCGCCTTGCGCGCGCCCTTGGCGAGGCGGCCGTGGCCGTGCGAGTGGCCGTGGCCCGCGCCCTGGCCCTCGCCGCTGTGGTGGTGAAACAGGCAGAGCCCCAGCACGTTGACCAGCAGCCCCGCCACGCCGACGCCCAGCACCACGAGCGGCTGCTGCATCTCGTGCGGCTCGATGAAGCGCTCGACGGCCTCCAGCAGGATGGCGAAGCACAGTCCCGTCAGGAAGATGGCGTTCACCAGCGCGCCCATCACCTCGGCGCGGATCCAGCCGAACGTGTTCTTCTGCGTGGCGTGGGTCCTGCGGGCGAAGCGCTCGGCCACCAGCGCCACCACGAGCGCCAGCACGTCCGACAGCATGTGGAAGGAGTCGGACAGCATGGCGAGCGACGCGGTCACCCGGCTCACCACCACCTCCAGCACCATGAACATGAAGGTCAGCAGCAGCATGCACAGCAGCCGGCCGCGGTTGCGGCCCCAGCAGCCCATGGCGGCGGCGGCGGCGGCCTGAGGCGCGGCGCAGAAGCGGGCGGGAGCGGCGCTGTGGGGAAACCGCCGGCCGCGCAGCGACTCAAGCGCCGGCGCTCGGCGGGACCGGGACCAGCGAGGCGGAGGGCGCGGGCGCGGGAGGGCGACTGCGTGCCGAGGGGCGGCTGAGCATCGGTCCGAGGCGCTCGGGAGACGGCGTCCGCGGCGAATGAGCTCGACCCGGCGGCGGCCGCCGTCTTAACCCCCCCGCCTTTGCAGACGGTTTACAAAAAAACTTTGCTTTGCACTCGGAACCCCCGTTTTCACACGGACCCGAGCGTGACAAGGCCCCGGTGCCCCGCCCCCCGGCCCGGCTCGCTCCCTCATTGGCTGGGGCGGCCTCACGACAGCCGAGCCGTCCCGCCCCTCCACGCCCTCTATTGGCTGGCGAGGCCGCGGGAGCTGCGGGCGGGGCTTGTGCTCTGGGGAGCCGGGCGTGGGCCGGGGGGCCGCGGCCGGGTGCAGCGGCGGGCGGTGCGGGGGAGGGTGGGCGCGGGCCGCGTGCAGCGGAGGGCAGGCGGCAGGGCGGCGGCGCCGAGCCCTGGGGCGCAGCGAGCGGTTCCCGCGCTGCGGATTCCGGGCTGCGGTTCTGTCGCGCCGGCCCTGCCTCCCTAGACTTTGATCCTGCCATCCCGGTGCACGTGGGGGCGGCTGGGTGACAGGTCGGCGCCCGGGAGGGGCGGGGAGTGCGGGCTGTACGGGCTGTGCGGGTCGGCGGGGGCGCGGCCGAGCGGGGAGCTGAGCTGGGGACTGGCTTGCTAGCGGCCCGACCCCGGTTTGGGGAACAGTTTCCATCCAGCGGGTCATCCGCAGGGCCACCTCCCCGAGGGAACCGTGTGAAGTCAGACCTGCCTGTCACTGCCTCTCTAAGGTGTGGGGTGCAGACTTGGGGCAGGAGCCTGCTGCGTGACTTGGGCAGGTCATCTAATCTCGCTACACCTGTTTCTTCATCAAGAGAGAGAAGGATTGGGCAAGTGGAACGCTTCTGCTTCCTTCTAGCTAAAATTCCAAGGCTCTGTGATTTCACACTATTTATAGGCTACAAACCTCCGAACCCTTGTGTGGGATGCTTGGAGGGGGAGGGGCGGCCAGAATACAAAAGAAAGGTGGCCGCGAGAAGTCAGGAACCAAACACCCTTGCTGAGTTGGGCTAAAACTCATTGGAGTTGGCTCTCAAAGTGAGATCAGTGGATGTGAGCATTTCTCTGTGGTTAAAAGTCCCCCAGAGTGGTGGCTAGAATCAGCAGCGGCCTCAGCTGGGCCACCAGACCCGAGCAGGGATTCCCTAGGTGCTTGAGATGTGCTTGGCCTGTTGCTCTTTTGCATGAAAAATTCTACTTTTTGGCTTTTGAGAGGGTTTCTCTGTGTAACCCTCGCTGTCATGGAACTCACTCTGTAGATCAGGCTGGCCTGGAACTCCCAAGAGATCCCCCTGTTTCTGCCTCCCTAGTGCTGGCATTAAAGGCATGAGCCACCACTGCCTGGTAATAATTCTTATTCCAAGATTGTCTCTCATTTGTACGGGATGTTCTCATCCCCGCACCCGGGCGTCCTCATCTCAGTCTCCCTCGCTGAAAAGGCGAGCATGGAGAAAGGCTTCCAACATCGCAAGAGAAGAAATGGCAGAATTTGGTGGTTGACTGGTTATTGGGAGGCAGAGCTAAAGGCGAGAATTAACGCAGTTAAGTTTTGAAACCGGTAAGGGAAACGCTGCCCTAAGTGGTATTGTATTGAATAGGAATGGGACCAGAAGCTGTCTTCAAGGGGAAAATACTGCGTTCCACTCTGAGACGCTGAGCTTGAAGTATATCCTGTACCATAGTGGTATTTGGGTTGGTGGGTCTGGGACTCCACACACTTAAGTGGGAAACACAGCTTCAAACTCTCTTTCAGCCTGCCTATATAATAGCTTAAATTTCTTTATGTGCCTGGTCAGTTGGGGACCATTTGGCTTCCTACTGTGGCCCTTTATTGACAGATTTCATTAAAGCAGTGGCTGTCAACCTTCCTCATAAAATGATTTTCATTGCTACTTCATAACTAATTATGCTACTGTTATGAATCATAATGTAAATATCCATGTTTCCTGAGGTCTTAGACCCCCGTGAAAGGGTCATTTGATCCCCCAGGGGGTCGCAACCCACGGATTGAGAACCGCTGCTTTAAAAAGGCATTCGTAGGCGAAGCAGAAATACTAGGTAAATGTGTAAGGCACAGGGACTTGCCACCTCAGGGGCTAAACAGATCAATTGGAAGATGTGTAAAGCCGTCTTTTCAGACTGTAGCCCCATCTGAGGTGCTTCCCTGGTTCCCGCTTAGGCCTTTTGCCAGTGGGCTTTATTCCCTCATCCCCTGGTAGGGGGCGGAGCAGCACAGTTCCAAGGTGTGGAGAAGTCACAAAGGGCAGCCAGCCTCAGAGTGACACAGGGTGGGGACCTGTGATTGCCCAGCAGGAGCAAAGGCCCTGGGTCCCTGAGAGAGCACAAAGCTGCAGGACTATTGTCAGACTTATCTTCTCCTTTATCCTCTTGCTTTTGGGACAGGATCTCACTGTGTAACCCAAGCTGCTCTGGAACTCACAGAGACCTGCTTTCTGTGTCTCCAGTGTTTGTGTTTCTGTGCCTCCAATGTTTGGGATTAAAAAGTGTTCACATTCACTACCAGCCCTCCCCCCCCACTTGTGTGAACAAAATAACTTTGATAGTTTGACTCAAGATGGGTTTTTTGTTTTTGATTTTGAGTTTTGTTCCCCCCCCCCTCGTTTCCACAAGTAGCCCTAGAAACTGAAGAAACTTAGGTTTCTTCTTGTTTGGTTTTTGTACTTGAGACAGGATCTCGCTGTGTAGCCCAGGTTGGCCTTGAACTCACCAGCCCTCACTGAAGCTGAACCACACCCAATGCTCGGTCTCAAAGGAAAACTCGGGGAAATCAGATTGTTTATTTTGTGTCTTTTGGAAAGGCTTGAGTAGTTACTAAATGCTGAGCCGAGGTATCTAGCAACAATGTGAGTGCCAAGGTTTGATATTTGTGTAGCTGCCCCAGAGGAGTAAGCAACAGAACAAAGCATAGACTAGAAACAATGCGGCCATAAAGCTCGGGAATAGCACAAAAGGTCCCAGTGGTCCAAGGGAAACATATAAAGAAACCTGGTGCAGGAAGCCTACTGGGGCAGAGGGGAAGCCCAGCAATGTAGAGGAGGGCCATGGCTGCGAGGGTCCACTTTTGTCTTCCTTGGTGGACCTGAAGGACCTTGGTGAGGCTAGCATCAGAGATACTAAAATTGATACCAAGTTCTGCAGTCATGGCAAGAAGTTAAGGCATCGGTACCCACACAACAATGCTTGGAGCTCAGGCCTGTTAGCTCAGCCACTGTGGGGGCTGAGTCAAGAGTTGGCCTGCCTAGACTACAGAGTGAGTTTGAAACCAGCCTGAGCAATTTAGCAAGACTCTGTCAACAGTGAAGAGAGAAGTAGGGACGTAGCTCGATGGTAACCTGTTTGCCTAGAGTGCGGGAGGCTGTTGTCTCCAGCACCACAGAAAAAGCATTTGTGAAATGTTATTACATATGTCTTCAGAGGTCCAAGGATAGCTATTGTGAGTTGGTTCTCAACTTCTACCGTAGACCCAGGGATTGAACTTAGGCTCTCAGTCTTGGCGGCACCGTCTTTCCCTACCAAGCCAATTCCTCCACCTCTGTGTTTTAGGTGCTGTGTTACAGCAGAAATGGGAGAAGGCTCAGCTCATTTTGTGGTTTAGACTTGGAATGATCGTCCTTCTCTGGTCATGGTGGGTTTTTTGAGACATGCTTGACATACAGTCCAAGCTAGCCTTGAATTTATGATCCTCCTGCCTCAGCCTCCCAAGTGGTGAGATTGCAAGCACTAACCACCACATTTGGCTTCTTCTGTAGTCTTTTCTACTCTCCAGGTTGGGAGGTCTCAAAGTACAAAGGATATGTTTTAAAAAAAAATTAAATTTATCCGGCATGGTGGTTCAAGGCCAGCCCTGAGCATATGTCCCCTCCTCAAATTAAAACAATAAAGTGTCTTTTTAGAGGAAGGTGGGACATACGGGCCCAGTCTGCAGCACTGCATACACTTAGCTTGGTAGCACAGGCCTATAACCCCGGAGTTAGAGAGCTGGGGAGGCAGCAGGATCAGAAGTGCAGTCATCCTTAGCTACAGCTTGTGTTTGAGGCCAGCCTAGCCCCCCCCCCCCCCAGAAGAAAGGCAGAAACATGTCCTTTATGGAGCTGACTTTGGCCAGAGGATGATACTGGTCCTAAGTCCTGAGGAGCTCCTGGTTGTCTTTGAACAAGTTACTCAGCACCTCTGAACCTTCCTTGCCAAGTCTCTTGGCTGAGGGATTATGAGAAAGATGATCTTTTAGGACTGAGATGCTGGGGACGAACCCTTGGGCCTCCTGTATACTAGGGAAGTGCTGGACCACTGAGCTACAGTGTAGTGAGACCGTGCTGGACCACTGAGCTACAGTGTAGTGAGACAGTGCTGGACCACTGAGCTACAGTGTAGTGAGACAAATGCTTACTACATTCCCCAGACAGGTCTTGAACCTGTGAACCTTCCACCTCAACTCCTCTAAGTAGCTGGGATTTTAGACCTGTGCCACCTGGTCTGGCAAGGTAGCTTCTTTATCAGAGTTAAGAGATGAGGAAGAGCAAACAAAGTGACCTGATTTAGGCCACTTTTCCTTGGGGTCCCTGTGAGCCCAGCACTGAGTTCTCAATTGGTATATTCAGAAACTACCCCACTTCCAAGGACAGGTCGCCAGCCAGCTCTCCAGCCAGCGCTCTTGGCTGCAGTGGGCTCCTGGACCACAGCCTCCTGCTTCCCTTCTGGTGAAAGACTGCTTGGGAGGCCAGAACTGGTCTTGGGAGGGGGACCTTCTGTGGAGGGCAGCCTACCCAGCCTCTTCCAGGTCATGACAGTCCCCCGCAGTGCCTGCAGGAATGCCACCTTCCTGCTCCCTGGCTGTGGCCGCCAGAGTGATCCTTTAAAACCAAGACCTGGGACCGTGCACGGTGGCACATGCCTTCAAACCCAGCACTCAGGAGGGCCAAGGCAGGTAGATTTTAGTGAGTTGGAGGCCAGCGTGGTCTATAGAGAGAGTTCCAGGCCAGCCAAGGCTACATAGAGAGACATCGTCTCAAACAAAACCCAGTTCTGGTCGCCAAAACCACTTATCCTCCACCCCCGTCATCACAGCAGAGGACACCCAGATTAATACCCAATGGC